TCCCGTGATTCTCTGCAGCTTCTTCCCTCCCATTGCCCAGGGCACCTAAGATTATCACGAGATGATTTAGACTATCTTACTAATAGTCATTTTTCGTCACCCTCCAGCACGTTTCTCCTGTTATACGGTCTTTAGATTCCTGACTTTGTGGTATTTTGAATATTTCCTTTAATGAGAGTTAAAGGATCTTTTTAAATTTTTAACTAAAGATTGTTTCAATTATTTATATTGGATATTATAATATTGATCAAGTTTTGTAAGAAATTAATTACGTTAGTTTTATAATGATAATGGGGTTAAAGTTCTCTTTATGGGTAACTCGTAACAGTTTGAAATTTTGGTAAACCAAAGTTCTTCTTCCACTTTGGTACTTGATATAATTGAGCATCGAATGGAGCTTATGGTGGAAGCATCACCATGAGCTGTGGCTTACTCTTATACGCTCCGTTCGGTTGGTCGAACTTTCGATGACGAGACTGACGAAGATGTTGGAGAAGAAGAGGAGGGCTTTGTAGGAAATTCCAGATGAATGAAGGGTAAAGAGAGAAGGAGGTGCAAGAAGGATGGACTTAGCTTTAAGGAGAGTAGACGATTAGGAACAGCTTGGTAGACCCTTGGCTCACCTACTCTCTTTCTCTTTCTCTTTCTTGTCACTAGCAACGGAAACGTACTCTTGTGACTTTGAACGAATTTCCTTCTCTTTGAGCGACCCTTCGTGACCCCACAAAGGACTTGAAACATGGCAAAAAGGCCCGCCGCGTGTTCCTTTCTCAAGGAACGATTCTACAGGATTGGAAGGACCAAAGGATACCAAGGGAAAGCTACGAGAAATACTCGGAACAGTTTTAAATGAAGACGAAAGGTCTATCGTGTTCCCCAAATCTTGAAATCACAGTGTCCCTTTTCTTTTCTTTTCTTTTCTTTTCTTTTCTTTTCTTTTGTTGCTTTCTTCGAAAACTTTGACTTCAATGAATTTCCACTTTTCCGATACTATCGGTGAAAGTTTATTTTCCATTTAAGTAGAGAAACAGCTGATCGATTTAAGTACATCCAATAATGTTTCAGATTATTCGTATTTCTATGTTGATTTATTGGTAATTGTAAGGGTCTTTTATAGTTCTTTCGAAAAGTTTTGAAACGTCCATTTTGTTTTCTCAACATTTTTATTCTTTTGTCAGTTCAGTTCAATTGTGAACAAACTTTAATTTCCTATTTGAAATGAAAATATTATTAAAATCGTAATTTTTGTTGTACGAATGAAATAATTTCATCAAATGGAAGAAGATTTACTGAAAAAAAAAAAAAAAACTGATTTACCTGAAAGTTCTTTCTCAAAAAGGTACGAAAAACCTTTTCGAATAAACTAAATTCGAAAACTATGTTGAATAGTCTTTGGCTAAGTTCTCTCTCATGTCCTGTCAAGAATCTTATCGTGAAAATTTAATACATTTGTTCTACGTAGAATAGAAAAAAGATAGAACATTGCAGAATTCTACGCTTGCAAAGAGAAAAAAAAAAGTACCTTTGTAGCCCTCTAAGGGTTTCTCGTTCAAATTTGAGCTCATTTTTCTGTCATTGATCATGGTTAGTCTTTCTTTTTTTTTGATTTCTCGTTAGATTCGTGGTTTATTTTCGTTAGACTTTAGTAAGGATCTATGGTTCTCAATAAATCTTGACTGACCATCGCGAACGGTTAATGGAAAAGTTGGGCTTTTTATTAACGAAAGGTACAAGACTCTTGAGATTTCTTTGGAAATCTATATATATATATATATATGAACCCTTACGTGAACCTATCTTTGGGGGTTCATTCGTTCATCTTTTCCTCTCATCCTTGTACTGTGTCAAGATATCTAATGGATATCTGATAATGAAAGAATCTATTTGTACATATATCTGTTAAGATGAATCATCTAAATCACATTGTTTTCATATTACCCCCTGAAAAGATTGTTGTCATAATTATTTAATACTTAAATTAAATGAATTCAAAATGATTCATATTCCAAAGATATTATACTGTACCTGTATAAATTATTATTCGATGTTAGGAAACCATTAATCATTGAATAATATAATTGTTCCATGCTGTACCATTATGGAAATGTTTAGTTGTACTATGAATCCGATTTGATCTAGGTGGGTTTTCAGAACACGATGTTATTGTAAACAGGTAGTCGCTAATTCAAATGTAGTATTCCTCTCTCCCTCGATACGTTTAAGTTTACAATTTACTGACAACCGTTTAGATATTCTACTCGGGCGTTGGAAACCCTTAGCTATTCAAGACCAAGTTAGGGTTAATTATGTCATCGTGATCGATCTGTTTGCACGGTCTCAACAACTTTCTCTCATTCACTCATTCATTTTTTCTTGAGTAGTAGTTTTGATCTGTTACTTGTCATCAAAGTATTATCAAACTTTCTTATAGTAAGACATCATCAAACTCATAATAAAATCGTCAAACAAACTTCTCACACATTGTTTTCAAGAATAAATACAAATATAATGAAGAATATTATTTAACTTGTTGTGTATTGTCAAAGATGACCAGTTAAATCGTAAAAGAAGTAGAAATCGGTAGGTCCTACTACTACTACTACTACTACTACTACTACCCTTATGGGCAAATTTCCGATTTATTCAAGCCCGTGCCCGAATACTTGGGAGCCCATAAAGAGAATGAATGGGATTGTGGCGGTTGCAGCAATGCTCAGGGCTGCTTTAGGGGTTCATGAAATACGCGCTCTGCCACCCTCGTTCAGTGCTTTTCCTACTACTGGTTCTTCCTTCTGTTGCTCTCTCACTCACTCTCATTCATCGGTTGTCTCTCTCTTTCAATCTCACTCGTCGACCACGTCTCTTCATTCCCCTTGAACCACCTCTTTCCATGCCGAATCGAAATTTTCTCCTTCCACCCCCTCCCCTTCCCCAATCTTTCTCTCTCTCTTTCTCTCTCTCTCCACGGGGTGGCCACTGGTATTACCATGAATTTACATAGCCTCGCTCGAAACTCAGAACATATTGCGCGGGCTTTGATTTATGCGAAACATTTGCTAAATATTCTCGCTTAATCTCGGCTCACCCGCGAGATGCCGGACGGAGAAACGGGAACAGAGAAATGCGGAACGGGACTTGCAACTACTATGAGGGTTCACTGTATATTTCTGTATATGTGTGTATGCGTATTACCAACTCAACTCGAACATTAGCTTCGTTGTAGTTGTCGTCGTTGACTTTTACTTTGCTTTCAAGCAACGGGGAGAATGCGTGCTCTTGAGAAAAGAAAAGTGAACATAAATATTCTTTATTGAATTATAGCGAGAATTGTTTCGTTTGGATTGTTCAAAAAAAAAAAAAAAAGAAAAAAAAAACAGGTTTGAGTTGAATGGTGAATTAGTCATTGTGTTATTTATTTATTATTATTAACTCTGTTTAATATTTATTTAACAAAATGGTATTGACGAGACGGCCTAGTTCGCATTTGGCTTCCTCCGTCCAGTGACAAACAGGGATGTCACCCCCTCCTGTCTAGGTGATTGCCCGAAGCCTTGTTAGTTCAGGAAATGCGTTACCACTTGTTAGTATCAATTTCAAAGAATTGACAAGAGAACCAGGAAGTTGGTAATGTATCTTTTCTAAGCTGATCTTCTTATCATTGGTCTAGAAATTTCCAATAAATTAATAATAATAATAATAATAATAATAATAATTAACATTCGTTAATTGAAACATATTATTAAAGAATCCCCCCCCCTAAAAAAAAGTGCACATAAAACCAAGAAACACAAAATGAAAAAAAAAATAGAAACGATCTTCGATTATCGGCAAGGTTCGATTACCACCCTTTTACTCTAATCCTTTTCAAGTCTCCCGAACCTCACCCCTTCCCCTCTATAGAAATTTTTTTCTTCCATTTACCACTTCACCATATATTCATATAGGGTTCTCTTTGCTCACAATAAAATGCGCGGGCCATTTGCATGCGAGGTCTCGGAGAATAAAACGGGGCAGGCATTCCCTGGATATATCCGCGTGGAGAGTCGAAGATGGGTTGGTGTTACAGGGAAAACCACCACCACTACCATCACCCTTAGTCCCTTTACCGAGTAGAAACGAAGCTGCCAGCCTGCCAGCCTGCCAGCCTGCTTGCTTGCTTGCTTGCTTGCTTGCTTGCTTCCCAAGCTCCAGCAGCGCGATAAGCCGCCCCTCAGGGGATTCGCGATTGTCTCGATTTATATGCACGCACGGACCTAGGTGGTAGGCTGTGCTGTTGCTGATCCTCTCACTCTCTAGTTTGGGAGCTTTGTCGTTAGGTTGTGAGAAAGAAGGAAGGGTGTCACACAAACTCCCTGGTCTTCCTGCTGTTGCTGGTGTCCTGTTGGTAATAGTCCTGCTATTGCTGTTGCTGACTATTCTCGCGAGGGCACCCATCGATAGATCGATTCTCCAACAGACAGTAAATATCGCTGATGAGCTGGACCCATTCCTGTTCGTTCATTCGTTGCTTGACTGGTAGGGATGGTTGAGTTTGCTTACCCTGCGATTTGTCGAGTGCTACAAAATCCTTGTTTGACTCGACTTCAAATGCTCTTTCGTTTTTTGTTTTTTTTTTTTTTGGTTGTTAGACCCTTATTCTGCTTCTCTTTCTCTTGTTTTTTTTTTTATTCTACATGAAATTTTTTTTTTTTTTCATTTCATACGTTGTTCACCCTATTCCCTTTATATGACACGTGCTCGAAACAGGACATAGGTAATTAGAGGATACCCTTTGCAGAAAAAAAATCTTTTCGTTGTTATTCTTGTTGGGTTGAATTTGAATCTTTGATACGAAGCTGTCTTCTTTTACAGACATTTTGTTTTCTGATGTAATTGTTTTGTTCTCTGTGTGTGTGTGTGTGATAGAAATTCAATGAACGTTTAGGATTTTTTGTTTTCTTTGTTTTCTTCTCATACGTTTGAACAAATACTTATATACCATTTGTTTTTTTATTTTTCAGGTCTCATTGTGCGACGAGTACAGTCTACCAGTCGACTTCGTAAACAAGAAACGTCCTGCAAGTGCTGCTGCTGCAACTTCCTCGATTCAGTGGACTTTGCCAAGTCCTACTGTCGAGAACGTGAGTATTTTATTTCTTTTTCTATTTTTTGAATTATCTAGTTTCTATTCTCGACATTTTTATATATATATATTGATTAAAGTAAATAACAAAATTGTATCAACCATTTTTTTATTTATACAGAATAAATTCATTCTAGTATTTGTCAATTGGTGATTAGTATCATTTAATCATAATAATATACTTTAATTTTAAACAATCATATTCTTAACAAATATACCAAAGGGTTTTCTAGGAAAAAATGTATTCCCCATAAATACTACGAGTAATTGCAGGAGTTCATCAGATTACAAAATAAAATCAACGTTAATGACCATAACTCAACGTTATCCAATAGAAAAGACAAAGATTCAATTTGTAAAAGATCGTAAAATTATTTTATCGACATTTTTTATATTTCATTTTTATTTTTTTCTTAATTCTTATGGTTTCAAGCATCTTTACCATCAGAAAGTTTGAACGGATAGTATTGATATTTTCACTCGACGAACTGCCGGAAAATCGGCTGAAGGGAGAAATATAATTACGACGGTGACAAAATACCCGTCGGGCATAGGAAGGTAGGAGGTTACGAGAGGGATTACGTGAGGGTGACAAGGGTGGTGGTGSTGGTGGTACGTGGGTGGTGAATAAGAGTGAAAAAGAGAGAATGAGAGAAAGAGAGAGAGAGAGAGAGAGGTGTGGTGATCTCGTCGAGGATGGTTGAGAGAAACAAGGCCGCCGCACCTAATGCTTGCTGTGTGAGTAAAAAGAGAAAGAGAAAGATAGAGAATGTCGAAAGGGGGATGAGGGGGTGTGGTAGAGAGTGGGTAGGGGTGGTAGTGGAGAACGGTGACTTCCGGCGTTGCTTATAATTGCTCCGGCACTCAGTTTCTGGCGGCTGTGGGGTTGCCTCGAGCGTTGCGCCTAAATGCTTCTGCCCTTGAAACATCACCAACCACCCACACACACCTTTAACCTCACCCACCTGATTCCCCGTTCCGCTCAAGCACAAAACCACTACCACTATTACTACCAGAACCAGCATGGGTACCCATTTACTTAACCATAAACACTACTTCTGATACATAGTAGCATGATTTTTGTAAAAGTATCTTTTCATTCGATACGATAGGGGTTGGTATGACGATTATTCGATAATGGGGAATGGTGAATATGTGTTAGAACATATGATGATGATCTGTGTTAGTAAAAACTTTTCGAATATTTTACGTGTCCACTTTTAACGTTTCAACGATTCGTTAACTTTCTATAACTAACATAATTGACTGCTGCTAGGTTGAGCATGAACGTGTCAGAGAACGAATTTATGTTGAAACTTTGTACGAGCATCTAGAAATTAATTTGAAATATATAAAAAAAAAAATGTATTTTTGTTTCTACAATCAAAAAGGTAACTTTTTGGTAGTTGGTTTGTCTTCGATCGTATGTATGGTTGCTAAAAAAGAAAAAAAAAGAAAAGGGCTTGATTCTTGTCTGGGAAATTCGTCGAAGAAACGACAAAAAAGAAAAAAGAAAATAAGAAAAAAGGGAAAGGGGAAGAACTAGGAGGGAGGGAGGGAGCATGGAAAAAAATGTTGTATGGGGAGGAGGGGGTGTGGGTACGAAGGACACCTGGAAGCAGCGTCGAACAAAAGTTTCCTTCGTCTCGTTGTCACCCCTATCCACAACTGAAAGTGCTTTTCGTATCTTGAGATCGAGTGAAAGTGTATGTGTATGTATGTGTGTCTGTGAAAGAGAGAGAGAGAGAGAGAAAGAAAGTAAAACAAAATAAAAGAAAGAAAGAAAGAAAGAAAGAAAGAAGATGATGGTAGCGGTGGTGGTGGTGGTGGTGATGGTGGTGGTGGTGGCACTTGACTCTCAAGAGGGTGAATCGTTATGACTCTCGCTCGTAAGCCCTACTTAATACTTTAGCGCTTTATTTTATGCGTTAGGTCGAAGGACGGGCTGTCGTTCTCGCATTTATCACTTTAAACAATGGCCCTTTTTTTTCTTCTTCTTCTTCTTCTTCTTCTTCTTCTTCAATTCGATGCTTATTCTTCTTTCGAAGAACTTAGAAACCATGCTGGAACAACAATTCATACTTTTATTATTACACATTGTTATTTATTCTTTTCATTTGAGAACTAAAACGAAAATGAAATCCAGGCCAACATTATTTTCGAGGGTTGGAATGGAATATGTTATGTTTTTTTTTTTTTTTTTTTTTTTTTTTNTTTTTTTTTTTTTTTTTATTTTTATTTAATATTGAATTCTAAATGTACTATCACATTTTTTTTTTATTATTTTGAAAAATAGATGTGTATGTGATTAAATATATTATACATTTATTGTTATATGTCATATTAGACATTTTCAGATTTATTATTTTGTATATTAAATTATTTTTAAATAAAAATAAAATATTATTAATAATATGAAAGTAAAATAATTTTGAATGAAAATAAATGTAAATGTAAGAATTATTTTGTGATTGTAGATATAAATGATTACATATTGAGATGTGTGAGTGTGTAATAATACCGAATATTATGTTTAACAAATTCACTTGAGGATTAACAAGGAATTAGAGAAAGAGAGAGAATGAGAGAGAGAGAGTGAGAAGCATGTAGAAATTGGCTATTTTAGGGAATACACGGAGGATCAAGAGGACTTCATTGGTATGCAATAACAAGGCGAGGTAAAATGCACGTGCTCGACAATCGTAAATAACTCGAAGTCGGTATGATTATGTTCTAGCTAATGATCGTATTCGATTATAATACAGTGGTCGAATAATCGGCTTAAAGTCCTTCCATAAATCGATAGGATTATCGACGAAGCATACGACAAGAGAGAAAGAGAAAGAGAGAAGGGAAACAACAACTACTACCTTTTACGAAGTTCACCGTAATCGTTGGTCGAGGGTAAACTCCATTCAAAATTGTTCGCTCATTTTGTAGAAATGTCGCGAAAGGTTTGTGCAATATAGCAGAAATAAAATTTAAAAAAAAATTGTTAAGGGTGGTTAAGTTTAATATACTTGAATTATTATGTCAGACATTTATCTATCGATAATTGCATTATTATATTTTTTTATCTTATTATTTTATTGGTTAAAAATTGAATCTTCAATTGATCGTGACATTTTAATAGATAATTAAAGTAATATATAATATATATTATTATTATTATAATTTAAAATAATATAAAATAATATATTAATAAATAATATATAAAAATATATAAAAAAAAAATTTATTTATTAATTTTACAAATTAAAATTACAAATAATTGTAATATATTAATATTATAATATATTATAAAATCTCTTTGATCATAAGACAAGTTATTATAAAGATTTGTCAATTTATCGAATTAATAAAACTAAAATCTTCTTCAGATTGCACATTGAAATGAATACACCTCATTGGTGATGTTTACATTGAAGGGAAAAGTCCTATGCATTCGATTGAAGAGTGAAATTTTCAACAGCCCGATCCAAGACTTTTCTTTCTCTCTCTCTCTCTTATCACCATACTTATTTACTTCCCCTATCTTTGAAAGCTACCTTCGTAATTTCCGTATAAACATCCACGAATTTATGTGTTACCAGGGAGTCCTCTTCTCTTTTTTTTTTTCCCCTCCTTTTCGTTTCACTTTCTTTAACGTGGAAGGTGGAAGGTGAGGGTGGATTGAGAAGATGGTGGTGAATCGAGACAGACCTTTTCGCCTTGGAGGAACAACCAACCCCCCGAGGGCAGCCAGCTACCACCGACAACGTTCAACTTTGGCAGGAGAATTCCAATTTCGGGTTCTTTCAATTTAAGGCTACTTGTCTTCTTCGCCGTCTTCTCATCCATCTCAAACCTTCCTTCCAGGTTGTTCCTGTCTTTCTCTCTTTCTTTTTTTTTCTTATTTTCTAGCAACGTTTTTCTCTGGGAATAGCTTCTCATCTTTCTTCTTACTCTTTTTGGTGATACTGTGGTGGATGGCTCATCTTTCAACCAACCAACCAGCCAGTCAGTCATCTAACTTTTTTTGTTTTGTTTTTATTTACTTTCCTGATACACTCATACCATTTTATCCGTAAGGAAAACAAGACACTGAGGAGAGAGACTCTTTTTATCACTGATCAGACGTTTTCTTACTCTGTAAATCTTAACTTTCTCTTGAAACATCTCTTCTTTCTTTTTCACTAGGTTTCCATTTTGTTTCATTTGATTCGTATTTCTTCTTTTTTTTATTTACCCGTGGACATCGTTATTACCTTGTCATTATCTCGATGTTGTCATTAATATCGAAGAAAGTGAAAAAGAGAGTGGAATTATTAGCGAGAGGAGAAAGTTTCTTATTTATTGAAGAGTAGAAACGTAAGGTGGAATGAAGAAAGAGATAGGGTAAAAGAAAAAGATGATATATTCAGAGAAATGGGTTGATGATGGTGGTGGTGGTGGTGGTTGGTGGTGGTTGGTGGGTGTAACCCAAAGTTGCTTTTTCTTCGCTCAATCAGCCAAGTCGATTTGTTCGAGACAGTTTTGTGTGTATTTTTCTTAATGCTCTACTTTCTTTCCTTTCATCTTATCGATAAGTTTAGTCAATGTTATGTAAGCTTGAATTGACTGAAAGGATGGATGGTATGTTGTGGTAATAGATTTTAGGATTTATTCTTTGATTAATTTCTATTAAATATTATTATTAGATAGTTTTTTGTTTATGTATATTTTAATCATTTCACTTTGTTTTTATGTTAATTTGAAATATATAATAATTATTTAGAATTTAATAAAAATGTATGTTAATACATCGATTCAATTAGCATAAAAAAAAAAAAATTATCAATTAGCAAAATAACTTTTATTCTAATTTTATTATTTATATTACATTGCATGGTTGTAATAAAAAATTAATTAAAATAATTAAATATATAATTATACTAGGAGTGCCCCGCCACGCGTTGCTGTGGCTCACACAATCAGTCCGATACACACGTCTTTAAGTCAACGAATTATAAAATAATATTACGATTATAAATAAGGATATAAACTATCCTATCTTTCAAGTTGGATGAAATTGCACACAGTGTGGAAAATTTGATTAAAATCGGTTCAGTAGTTTAGGAGTCCATTGCGAACAAATAACGTGACACGTAATTTATATATATTAAGAAGATTATAAATATAATATTGTTATTAATTAAATATTGATAAATTTGCTACTAGATTTGTTTGAATAAAATTATATTTTTATGGGTATTCCAAATTTTAATTTTTATTAAAAAAAAAAAAAAAAATGTTATTTTCTCTTTTAAAACTATAACAATAATTTTTATAAGGGGGTATAGAGTGTATACAATAAAATGTTTACTCTCTGTAAGTTCAGCCAAGGCATTACCGCAATTGGCTACGTTCAGATGGTGGAAACGGTTTGCAGTTAACGTGCTTCGTACGTTTAGGCGAAGGAAACTCTGGCAATAACCCTTTCTCGTGGTGGCCCCTAAAGAGACGAAGCTCTAGACGTCACTGTTTAAGTACAAACCTTAGAGTGAGTGAGAAAGAGATATAGGGGAAGAAGGAACAAGTAGAAACGTTGCCAAATTAGTATTGTCGAAGCGTTTAATGCCAATAATTATTACAGTATTCCCTTGCCAAATTCCTATGGGGGTTTTTTTTATTTATTTTTATAATAAAAATATTATATACTTTTATTATATATATATA